GATTTAAGCCCCCCCCCCAAAAAAAAAGACATCATATGATAGCAAAACCCAGAACACGATTGTGAAATTAAAAAAACAATACACAGAAATCTCTGGGCAGGAATGAACCAATTGTATTCTATTTTTATGAAGAAGAATCAGTAAGTGATCACTGATTAAGCAGAAAGGAAGCCAGCCACCATGCCAGGCTAATTTTTAATTTTTCGGAGAGATCGGGCCTCCCTGGGTCGCCCAGGCTGGTCTTGAACTCCCAGGCTTCCTAGATTGGGCAGTGGCTGGGGGTGTGAAGCAGAATCCCGCGCACCCCAGGTGTGACTGCTGCTCACCGGATGCCCAAGGCGCAGGAAAGACAGCAACGTTCCCTGCAGCCAGGGGCGAGCTGGTGTGGAAGGCACCGTGTTCAGGTCAAATCCAGAGTATTTCAGTTCCCTAAAAGCAGTTAACTCTTATCTGCCAAACAGGGCAGATGTGAGTCCCCTGCCACCTGGGCATAGTGGGACCACGTGGTCTCCAGCTGCAGAGCACCAGCCCCTGCTATCGCGCACACTTACTCGGGGTCTCGCAGTCCACACAGTGGGAGTTCCCACGCATGTTCCGGATCGACTGCAGGGCCATGGCCTCGCTCTGGCTCGTCAGCCGGGACTGGCACGAAGGAAGACACAAATACAAGGTGTGAGCACCCCGAGAGGAACATACATCACTGGTAACATCGGGGAAAGATCAAACAGACTGGGAACAAATGTAGGAAATTTGGAACAAATTGGAAATTACCCTCATCCAATTACCCCTGTTTTGACATCTTTGGGAAAGAACGTAACTGAAGGAGAAACTATCATGTGAGAGTGATCACATTTTAGCACTCATCAGCTGAGATCCACTCTGCCAGAAATGAGCAAAGGGGAAAGTTCTGGATCATCTGTGAATGAACATGGACCACGATCACCTGGATAAGGTGACGGCGTAACCTTCTGGGCAATAGCCACGTGTCTACTTGGTGTGAAGAATGAGAAAGAAATAATCTGCTTTTAAGGCCAGGGTCTTCATCAGCACTGTAAGACCTATCTCATGGTTCCTCGTCAGTAAACCCTATCCATACCACATGTCACCCTGGGAGATGCACCTGTCATCTGAAGACTCTCAGTTTTCACAGTGACAAAGCCACTCACCAGGGTGGGGGCAGGGAGAAACTTGAGTATAACTGGGGTTGTTATTCTTAACCTTACACTTCATGACTTATTCATTATTATTATTTGAGCCAGAATCTCTGCTGCTGAGGCTGGGGTGCATCTGCACAATCATAGCTCACTGCAGCCATGAACTCCTGGGCTCAAGGGATCCTTCTGCCTGCCAAAGCGTTGAGATAACAGGTGTGAGCCACTGTGCCTGGCTCTATGGTCTTCTTTAAAAAGGATTTAAAGGCCAGGTGTGGTGGCTCACACGTGTAATCCCAGCACTTTGGGAGGCCAAGGCGGGTGGATCACGAGGTCAGGAGTTCAAGACCAGCCTGGCCAAGATGGTGAAACCCCGTCTCTATTAAAAATACAAAAATTAGCCAGGTGCAGTGGCACATGCCTGTAGTCCCAGCTACTTGGGAGGCTGAGGCAGGAGAATCACTTGAACCCGGGAGGCGGAGGTTGCAGTGAGCTGAGATTGCACCATTGTACTCCAGCCTGGGTGACAAAGTGAGACTCTGTCTCAAAAAAAAAAAAAAAAAAAAGATTTAGGGCCAGGCGCGGTGGCTCAAGCCTGTAATCCCAGCACTTTGGGAGGCTGAGGCGGGTGGATCACGAGGTCAAGAGATCGAGACCATCCTGGTCAACATGGTGAAACCCCGTCTCTACTGAAAATACAAAAAATTAGCTGGGCATGGTGGCGCATGTCTGTCATCCCAGCTACTCAGGAGGCTGAGGCAGGAGAGTTGCCTGAACCCAGGAGGCGGAGGTTGCAGTGAGCCGAGATCGTGCCATTGCACTCCAGCCTGGGTAACAAGAGCGAAACTCCGTCTCAAAAAAAAAAAAAGATTTAAAAACATACATGCTCATTGCAGCAAGTTCAGAAAATACAGAGAAGGGAAAAAGAACATAAAACTTTATAAACAGTGATGTGGCCATCCACAGTTAAGCAGTGTTGATCATTTGATATCTGTTCTTTCAGCTTGTTTAAGCAGATCTACATACACACAGGCACTTTAAAAAGCCAGTATAGGCTGGGCGCAGTGGCTCACGCCTGTAACCCCAGCACTCTGGGAGGCTGAGGAGGGTGGATCACCTGAGGTAGGAAGTTAGAGACCAGCCTGGCCAACATAGAGAAACCCTGGCTCTATTAAAAATACAAAATTAGCTGGGCGTGGTTATAAGCGCCTGCAATCCCAGCTACTTGAGAGGTTGAGGCAGGAGAATCGCTTGAACCTGGGAGGTGGAGGTTGCAGTGAGCTGAGACTGCGCCACTGCCCTCCAGCTTGGGCAACAAGAGTGAAACTCTGTCTCAAAAAAAAAAAAAAAAAAGCCAGCATAATACATATTGCTGCATTGAAACCTGCCCTTTCAGCCTAACGAAATCTGTTCATTGCTCAGTGCCGTCACACAGTCTCTGACATCACCATTTCAGACAGCTACATAGCATTCCACTTAATGAACACTTGGATGGACATTTAAGTGGCTTCCAATTTTTCTCTATCAAACAATGCTGTAAGAACACATAACGGCTAAGTCTTGGTATGCATTCACAAATTATTTGCTAAGAATGGGTTCCTGGAAGTAGGGGTTCTAAGTGAAAGGATATATACTGGATATGTACCTTCCCCCCACCCCCCCCCAGAGAGAGTGTCCTGCTCTGTTGTCCAGCCTGGGGTAGTGCAATCATGGCTCATTGCAGCCTCCAACTCCTGGGCTCAAGTGGTCCTTCTGCCTTAGCCTCCTGAGTAGCTGCAACTACAGGTGTGAGCCATGCACCTTGCTATTTTACATATTTTTGTAGAGACAGGGGTCTCCCTACGTTGCCCGGGCTGGTCTTGAACTTCTGGCCTCAAGTGATCCTCCCACCTTAGCCTCCCAAAGAACTGGGAGTACAGGCGTGAACCATCATGTATGGCTGATATGTACAGTTTTTAAGGCCTGTTTATTAAATATGCATTTAATATTACAGTTAAAGCAAAAATTGAATCAATTTCAAAGGACAGTTACAATAAGCTTGATTTTCGTGTAAGAATTCTTCACAAATTGGACCGTCTCATGTCTGACTGATGTGAATACTATACTACTCGCTGCATAATAAGTTATAATGGACTAATTACTATTGTCTAGTCAGCATCACGCATTATTCAATTTTAACTCCCTCGGGTTAGATACCCAAGTATTCAAAATAGGTTTAAACAGTTTATAGTGGCATCTGGAATGCATGTGTGTGAACACGTGTGTGAAAACACACACACATGGATGTGCCTCTGTCTATGTGCCTGCATCATTTCTGTGGTCTGTCTGTCTGTCCAGCTGTATCAGCTCTCTCAATTATCTGTATCTGTATCAAGCTGTATCAGCTTTCAATTATCCACTGGCAGGTGAAATGCTATAAAGCTGGTGGTCAATTGGGCCTGTGATTTTGCCCTCCTGCCACTCGTTGTGGAGAGCATTTCCCATGTTTCACACCCTCACACCTGTTCAGCCAATGCCCACGATGACCAGGTGTGAGTCTGCCACCTTTGGCTGCTCAACGCGTCCTCCCCCCAGGAGAAGCACTTCCCTGGAGCACCTGCGCCTACTGAGAGCCAAGGGCAGCATTTTCTAAGGCTGGTGCGTGCCTCGGCTGAGATGTGAGTTGGGAGGAGCCTGGCAAGGTGTGGAAGGGAAAGGCTGCCACCATCCCAGAGCTTCCTGAATTAGGTGGAGGTGGCATGGGTTCAGAGTCTGCAGTGAGAGACTGTGATTCCCCCATGAAGTCAGGACATGTGACTCTCTGTTGGGTAACACATCTTGCCCCGCACCTGCCTTCTCAGAAAGAGCTGCTCACGCTTGAAGGATGCTGCATACTATAGGTCCCTGTCGGGGTGGCCCCAAAGCACCCTGTGCTTGTTTCAGGAGGCACACCGAGGATGACACAGACGTGACCTGGCAAAGCCAGGGTGTCTGGAATGAAAGGCAGTGGTTCTCCCACCTTAGATATAAAACATCTTTTCAAAAGGGAAGCAAATTACCTTATAATAATAATGACTGTGGTCTGGTTTACCCTGGTTAAAGAGGGTAATAAAATAAGACACTCTATCTTTCTGAAAGACAGACTCTCTTTTTAGTGACAAAGCTGCACATAAATCATTGGCAGAAATTTCTTTAAATGGTGACAAATGAAACTGCAGATCAGTGGGCAACACCGTTTCTCTGAGTTTCTAGTTGATCATAGTCTGAAGTATCAGAATGCTCTCCAAAAGTTTAAAACATCCCAGCAAAGAGGCTAAAGACAACCAAACATTAAAATAATGAAACTGAAGCAATCCTTGATGGGAAAAAGGACTTCTGTAGTAGGAATATCACTGGGCAGTAGCCTAGAGAATACAGTGAAGCCAGGAGCAGTGGCTCATGCCTGTAATCCCAGCACTCTGGGTGTCTGAGGCACGTTGATCGCTTGAGCCCAGGAGTTTGAGACCAGCCTGGGCAACATGATAAAACCCCGCCTCTGCAAAGAATATATATTAAATGAATATATATGTCAGTAAACAAGCAAGTAAGCCAGGAATGGCAGCATGTGCCTGTAGTCCTGGCTCCTGAGGAGGCTGAGGTAGGAGGATTGCTTGAGTTTGGAGGTTGCAGTGAGCTGAGATTGTGCCACTGTACTCCAGCCTAGGTGACAGAGAGAGCTCTCTCAGAAAACAAAACAACAAAAATAAAAAAATTAAAAAAAATACAGGTGAACTTTTTTTTAAACGGGTGAAAACTCTTTATTTTTCCTAGCTAAATAACTACAAAAAAATTACCTTTCATTATTATTTTTTTAATATATAAAAATTCTGGGGTGGCATTTTCTGGTGAAAACCAGAACACCTGCTAGACAAATTGTAAAAAAGCTCTAATTATTTAAAAAAGCAATACCACCTCTAATTATTGGATAAAACACACGCCAGGCTTTATAAGTTTAGAGAATAGAAATTTTACCTTCCCAAACTCCCTGCACACTCCTATAGGCCCATCTACTTTTCGTTTACGCTCCTAACAAGAGATGGTTTTCCAACCTGACGTCGATTTTAATTCTGGGCATGTATGAGATCCTAACAGTGCATCTTTGAAGCATGTATCCGTTTTTCTGAGTGTATTCTGTCCAAAACAAAAACAAATGTGGACCCAGAAGCCACAAGAGTCTAAAAGATTCCCTCTGGGACTGCCTGAGTGAAGACTGAACACCGGCGATTCTGCCAGGGAAGCGTGGTCAGGCTGGATTACTTGCCTATGATGGCACAGACACAAAGTGTTTCTTACCTTTTTACTCTTTTTAGTTTTTGAGCCTCCTGCTTATGAAGAATAGCTAGGTCCTGCCATCCGCACTTGTCATGTTTCCCCTCCCTGGGACATTACATGGGCCGCATTCCCCCTGAGCAGCCACATTCCCGCCGGGCGACCGCAGCCTTGGTTTTGGGCAGCCTGGGGCCTCACCTTGTTCTTGCTGCTCTCGCATGACTGCAGGCTGGCCAGGATCTGGCTCTCGATGGCTTGGACCCAGGCGTCCCGCTCCTCATACGTCGTGGCTTCAAAGTGCCACGTTTGGCCAGTGAGGGACACAATGATAAACTCAAAGTTTTCTTCTTGTTCTGAAACACAGAGTGTGGGATGAAGAGTTTAGCTTCCCTGAGGCAGCAGCCCCCCTCCTGGCCCTCTGTCACAGAAGTGCCTCTGGGTCCAGCTGCCCCTGTGCAGGCCGGTGATGCACACAGCGCTGCACAAACACCGCAGCGGAGCTCTGAACCCAGGCACCTCCCAATACTCCAGATGTGGTTCCTAAGGCCAGCATGGCTTAGCTAGGTTTCAATCAAGGTTCAGGGGACAAGACCAGATGAAATCAACAAGTGATGTCAGCAACTCTGTGTGGTGCACACACAAAGCGACTTAGGAGAATAACTGTGTAACTCATGGCTGACCACCCTTATCTGTGGGATGACGAAAATTAAGTTAGGGCCGCTAATCTCAGGATGCAGAGTGTATCTCTATCTAAGCACTCGCGCAGATCCATAGACACTCCATGGAAAGAGGAACGCGGGAAGGTTTCCGTTCTTTTACGGCAGAGGACCTGTGACAGTGGGAGAGGGATGAATCCCTACTGTTTTCAGATGGGGAGCGTGCACAGGATCCTGCCTGCCTCAGGAGGATCTCAGCTAAGGCTTACAGGCTCCAGACTTGGTAGCCACTCTGGGGCCAGGTCTGGAATGGGAAGAGAGAAACTTGGGGACACACCTTGCAACCCCATCTGTCACATCTGAGTCTTTGGGCAAGTTCCTTGACTCTTCCAAGGTTCATTTGTTCCTAACCCATAAACTAAAGGAAAAGGGTACTGACTGCCTAGTGCTTTTCTGCTAGTTCCCTGAAGTGTACAGACCCTTGTGGACTTGGGGCCTGGCTCATGGAAGATACTCCACAGAGCCACGTCGGCCTGTTTGTTATTCCTATCCCCACTTCCGGCCCCCAGGTCCCTGCCAAAGGAGGAGGCACCACTTGCAAAAAAGCGTAACTAATTGCAGACAACCACTAAGAAATTTTTTGAGAAAGGGGGCTCACTTTGTTGTCTAAGCTGGAGTGCAGTGGTGCAATCACAACTCACTACACCCTCCACCTTCCAGGCTCCAGTGAGCCTTCTGCCTTCGCCTGCTGAGTAGCTCAGATTACAGGTGCACACCATCAAAACTGGCCAATTTTTACATGTTTTGTAGAGATGGTGTCTCCCGAGGATGGTCTCAAACTCCAGATCTCAAGTAATCTTCACTCCTTGGCCTCCCAAAGTGCTGGGTGATAAGTATGAGCCACTGCACCTGACCCTCATTAAGAAATCAGCTGGGTTTTTACATGCAATACCTCCTTTGACTTGGTGTTTCCAGGCCCTGGCCTGTGAACTAGCTGCATTATAATCCCCTGGCGAGCCACTGTTATCGGGACTGATTTTCATCTACCTGCGTGCCGACCACTTCATCTCCATCACCAGTCCAGTGGCCATTCGCCTGGCTCACGTCAACCGTACAGACCTCTATCTGCCAGGCTCTTGGTCCCTCCAGCCCACTTTCCAAGCATTGCTTACCACCCTCACCTAGGTCGGCTCTCTCGGGCCCTTCCTCACGACACACCTGAAGCCTGGGACATGAGGACATGCCACCCCACTCATCCTTTCCCCACTCCTTTCTGGCTGGGTGGATATGCAGCCTGCTTTGTGGCTGAAAGAGATCCCTTCCACCTGAGCACCCCACTGACGATGTCAAGCCCCACTCCTAGGCGAGAGGGTCCAGCACCCAGCCAGAGAGGGCCCATGGCCTCCACCAACCCCTCTAAGGTCTGTGACTCCCCAAGATGCTAACAGCCATTCTGCAGGCATATTCTGGGGGCTGCAGAAAAGTGCTAAGTGGAGGTCAGGCCTAGGCCCGAGGCCCTGGCTCGTTAGCCTCCTTTGGGGTGTTGGCACTGAGGCCAACCCCGTGAAAAGGACCGATCCGGGCTGGAGTGGGAGGGGAGAGAAAAGTCTGCGGAGGAAGTCCTCGGCTGGCCCACATGGTATGTGGGTGTCCTTCACGCTCTTAGTCACCGTGGTTACTGATTCCTGGAGAGCTGTTGACAAGAGGTCAGGATGGGAGGGTCTGGTTGCTCAGGGATTTTATCCCCATGTCCTGGACTCTTGAATTTGGAGAACAAATGATCCCCCCACCACCTGTGTATTTATGCAGAAGCAAAACACTCCACGTACTGTGGAAAGCGGGGTCGGGGAGAAGGTGGGGGCTGGGGTGTCTGCAGGTAATGCCTTCAGTAATGACCTTAGACACTCAGGGACTTGGAGTTTTCATTAAAACAACAACACTGTAACTTTCACATAGGTTTCACCATGGCTGACTTACAACGATACTGTGTAATTATTGGCTGAGGTGCTACATCTGTGAATCTTAAAAGGTTCGGCTTCTTGATCCATGGGCTTTTACATCCTAGTACTATGAATTGCAACCTGTTTCACACAGATTCTCGTACGACAGTGTCCCATTCATGTATTTTATGCAAAACTCGCCTAGTGAATGGATAGGTAAGGCAGGAAAAAACGACGTAACTCACAGATCATAAGGAAAACTTGGTAATTCATGGGTGGGATGTGACAGTTTTTGATTATGAGATCAACTCAACAGGCTCACACTATTTTAATCTGTGAAATTCAAATGCACATATCAAAGCTCCCACCGATCAGCATTTATTGGATCTTCCAGTGAAAAGAACTGCAACCATTAGCTTCCCAGTTACATGTTGCACAACTGGTCCCCGTAAAGCTTTCCTGTTCAAATGTTTGGCTCCAGCCAGTCATGAGCTCCACTCATTGGAAGCAGGGCCAAGAGCTGAACTTGCTTTGCACTGCATGGGTGCAGGGCTTGCTCACTGTGGTCCTCTGCTGCCCTCCCGCATGTGCTAGGCAATGGGGTGGAAGGGATTCCAGCATGCGGGAGAAGCCGGTGCCCTCTAACTGTCTCTATGTGGTCAGGACAGGCACCCACACAGGGAAGTGAGTCAACACAAAGTGATACACGACAGAAATCTGAATGAAGTTCCACAGGAACGTCTCTACCTTTTGCCTCATCCCAGCACAGTAGCCGCTATCCGTCATCTTGCTCTGTGACACTCTATCTCATGCAAAGACAAAACTTGCAAATTAAATGGGTAAAATACAGTTTGGCTCTGCCTGATTCATTACATAAACAAAATTCACCTGTGTATGCAAACTCTACTTAGGAGACCAAACATACATACGTGTTCACAGGAATGTCAGAACCTGTTTCTAGCTGATTTCCAAATGTGCTCCCTACAGCGGCTGTTCTATGGCTTCATCACTCTTTTTGAGACGGGAGTTTCGCTCTTGCCACCCAGGCTGGAGTGCAGTGGCACGAATCTCAGCTCATTGTAACCTCCGCCTCCCAGGTTTGAGCGATTCTCCTGCACAGCCTCCCAAGTAGCTGGGATTACAGGAATGTGCGACCACACAGGGCTAATTTTGTATGTTTAGTAGAGACTGGATTTTACCATGTTGGCCAGGCTGGTCTCGAACTCCTGACCTTAGCTGATTTGCCCGCTTTGGCCTCCCAAAGTGCTGGGATTACAGGCATCAGCCACTGTGCCTGGCCCATCACTCACTTTAAAAATCCATCCCACCACCTATCTTCTCCTTATACCAGACACACGTAAGTTCCCTTTTCTAGTATCTTCTATGTCACGAAACATTTCTGTCTCAGTTCCTGGTCCATTCCTCCCCTCTCTCTCTGCATCCTTTCCCTGGTCCCCTCGCACCTTTTGCAGACCTGGATTTGGCATGGTTTCCTCACTCTCTTGCAAACTTGACATCCCTCTTCTACAGACCTGCCCTCCCTTTCCTGATCCCACTCCATCCTTGAGAGATCACCTCTTTCTTCATCCTTAACTCGCACATCTGCAAAGCAGAAATGTGCACATGTGCATCCATCTCTTTGCCTCCCTCTCTTCTCTAATAATGCTCCCCTATCATCTCGCTGACTGAAACCTCACTCAACGGGATTACAAATCAAGGAACAGCCAGGGGGCAAGGGCTGTGCTCAGTCTTCTCACTGACCGTCCTTTTTCTGCAGTTCTTGACATTGCTGATGGGCACCACCATATTGTAATATTTCCCCCTGGATCTTCTGAGATGCTTGATCACCCCGAAGACTCACCCAGATGTGAGCAAGGTATTAACCAGGGTGAATGAAAGAGATGTGGATAGTTACATAGATTCACAACTCACTGGAAGAGTCCCTCCAAAGGGGTCCGAAGTGCCATAAACTAGAAGGAGGCCTGCAGTGGTCAATCACGGAACTTTTACCACTGGCTTGCCTTGTTCAAT